TTACTCGTGCACAAAACTTTCTGAAATCTGTTAACATTTAGAAGGTTTACTAAAATTAAAGATGCTTTTGTATGTTTATACCTTAAAATATCTGAGTAGGTGTATATTCCTAGAAAAGGCTGATCTACCCGAGTTTGGTTTTGTCCAAGTCGTCTTTGAAGCGACTGGGGATTCTCTCAGCTGCAAAGGCAAGAGAAAAACTGAGTAAATACTTTAGCCAAAAATAAAGACTTAAAAATGATTACGGAAAACTTGCAGCGCTAAGTTTCAGCTACAAAACTGGCTGAAAACTAGTAGTTGTTCTACGCAATGTTCTAGTACCGTGGATTTGCAAGTGTGCACTGCTTTATGTTGTTTCTTCTTCTTTTGGCAGCTACCCTCAAGAATTCCAGGATAAAGGTAAACCTCCTGCCTTTTTCTTCCCGGCTCTGCTGTGTTTTTGCCCGGTGACGGGCTCTCGCTTGAACGAGGGGAGGGTGCGGGCTGTTGCGGTGCTCGGCTGCGCCCGGGTCGCCTCTCGAGGCCGAGGGGGCTGGCTCCCCCTGCTGAGGAAAGCGGGGGAGAGCTTCCCAGCCGCCAAGTTCCCGCTGGGCCCTCGCGCGAGCGCTAGGTCCCATTTCCTTCATTAGACGCATCTGAGAACGCTTGCTGATGAAAAGATTAGTTTGGAAATAGAGTTCAGAATTTAATATAAATGGAGCCTGTTCTGTCTGGCTTAATTAGCAATAGCGTAGCATTGCGAAAGACCATGTGATACGGGTTTGTTGGGTTTTTTTTTTTTTTCAGAGGAAGTGTATGCGAAGCAGCCTGCTTAGGAGATAAAATTTAGTAGGGATAACTTATTTCAGCCTTTTTCCTTAACACTGCGAAAGTCTTCAATTCCGTAGTGATGTTTCTTTAACCTTTTAATAGGATCATCTAGTGGCAATATGATATTGGCTTTCGATCCGCGCTGAATGAATGTTTTCATAGTGCGGCAGGAGCTCAGAGGTTTAGTTGGAGAGGAGGTGATTTAGTGTGCGAGTAATGAAAGCTGAAGTGTGGGTTATCTATTGTCTTCTAGTGGAGTTAAAACAAAGCTGCAGAGTTCAGTTTAGAAAAGACTGAGGAGTTTGTTGCTCCAGTGTTCTGTTCTGTAACTAAACCTGGAAGGGCTCTTATTTCCATGATGCTAATTCTTGAGGTCGTGACCTATAGCCTGTGGATGCTGGTATGAGGGTCACAGCGCGAGGTCAAAAAAGCCTATGCAAAGCCTCGCTTTTTGCCGTGGTTGAAGAACTGTCTGTTTCTGGACAAGGAGGTTCAAATGTGTAGGCTACAGCGTGCCTCCCGATAAAGTGCAAATATGTAAGTCGTGTTAGGCAAGTAACGTTATGACAAGGCACAACAAGTTCATACATTTCTTATCCCTGTTTAAGTCAAGTTATACAGTCATAACAGTTCAACCGAAGGAGAAAATACAACTTGAAACTTCCCAAAGATTGCCAAGATTTTGTAAACTCTAACTATGTGATTCTTTAAAAATTGCATTAAAATAATTTGCTCTTTTTTTTTATATTGCACCTCAGCACCCTTACTGAAGTGAAAATGTAGTTTCCCTCCTCTCCTTACTGTCCAACAGAATTAAGGGTGGAAAAGTCAAATGTTATTTTATTAAGAAAATGACTAACATGAAATTAGGTGGGATGGTTGTTTCATTGCAAATGCATCTGACTTTCTGGAGAGCATATTTTTGAAGATTTAATAACTTTCTGAGGCTATGACGCCCTAATAAACATGAGAGTTGTCGACAAAGAGCAGAGTTTGCATTTACTGGTTTGCTTTTTCTCAAAGGTCAAGAATATTCTAGTCTATTTACTTTCTCCATTGGCAATTTGATTCAGAATTTCTTTTCTGATTCAACAAATTATTAATAAAGATGAGATTTCATTATCTCCAGTAAAATGGATGACTTAATTGATATAGTCTGTAATTGTTACCGTATGAATTGCTCTGATTTCTGTGAAAATTGTATTCAGTCTTATTCTTTTTATTAGAGTGCATTTACTTCTTAAGAAGGATATATTGCTTTTTTTTTTTAATTTTTAATTTTCATGATGTGTCTCTTTGGTTCAGATTGTAGAACTATGTACAAATGGTGAAGCTTGCAAATGCTGATACTTCTCTTTTCTTTCAGTATTTGTCAATAAAATGAGAGGGCTCTAAAGTTATACCATTGTCTTCCACAAGCAAGGATAAATTTCTCCCAATTCATTTACATGCATGAATATGAAAAATTCACAAGAAATAGGAGCCTGCACTTATTTGCAAAATACTTGAGGGAATGTGGTTCAGTGGTATGGGTTGTTGGTATAACTTCCAGAATTCAAGAAGTGTATGCTAAACTTTATTTGGTTGTATCATTCTTACTTTAGGCCTGTACAAATTAGGCGTGACTCGTGTAGGTGTAGAACAAAGGACCCACATGGAGGTAAGCAGTCAGATTCTTGGCCAGCTACTAGTGTAACAAAGCAGTGGCAGCAGCTGAGTGAGGTCAACTTTTGTGCCCATTCATACCGCTGTACACACCTAGACATTTGAAAAATGGAAAATTTGAGAAAAGATTAAAAACTGAGGTGGCAGTGATGGTCAGACATTTTCCTGTTCCTCCCCCCACTCCAGAGAAAGAAGAAATACTCCAAAATATAAGGTGAAAAAGGAGAATATCTTTTAGGAAAAAAGGAGGGGTGGAAACTGCACTGAAACAAACTGGGAAGAATAAAAACTACTGTGCACATTTAAACTTCATATTTGCTTTTCCATGTTTTGTGGTAGCAGTTACTCTTTTTTTTAATTTAATGCAAATAAAATAATCTTTGTATCTGAAAGGGAAAGTGAAGAATGATTCATACTATGTGCCATATTATTATGGTATAGTAATTATCATACTGCACTAATTATCATACTATATCAGCTCTTTTCAAGAACCTTGTGAGTCGTGACCTGTCATCCTTCCAGAGGCATCCAGAAGAATCTTTTGGAGGCCGATTATAGTGGACTAATGCTTTCAAAATTCATATATTTCCTGTATAACATCATGAAACTTGACTCTGGTCTCCCAAACAGCAGCTCCTTCAACCTGTGAGTTGTTCCGCAGGTATGCTTTGTGGGCATCAGCTTGTCATTCCACTTTCTTTCATCATTGCATGTTCCTGGAGTTCCACTGGCTTTGCATGTGGTGACTAGTCAGTTTGACCAAGGTATTGTATGTGAGCTCTTGTTGTATGGGCTTTGGCCACTAGCATACAAAATCTTACCTTCCGTAAAGACAAGGCAAGGAGGTTTAAAAGAATAAAAAAAATTGAAAAGCATGCGCACAAGTAGAACCAGGCTCCTTAAAACCAAAATCATCCATGTGCATATATCTTAACTTTCAGAAAGTGCAGATTGATGAACTTAAGGACTTTCTTGCATCCTCTTAAAAATAAGCCTTCTTGCGTTGTCTGTCAGGTCAGTAAATATGCTGGCAAAAGCATCTTTTGTGTCTACACACTGAAAAAATGAAGCTTTCTAGGGGAAGTGGTACATGTGAAAATTCAAGACATGAAATTAATTGTGCAGGAAAATATTTAATTCTCATGTGTGATGTCTTATCTGATTTCACACTGACTTTTACAGTTAAGTGTAATGTTGATTTACGGACAAAGGAAGTGCATGTTGTTCTTATGACCAAAAATGTACAATTATATTAATATCCAAACCACTAATCTTTCCACAAAATTTATTTTTCTTTATTGAGTTATGTTATTAAATGTTTATTTTTATTTTATTCTTAAATTAAGGAACTTGGTAGAAATGTCGTCTTCTCTTAGACACTGCTGCTTTTTTTTCCTTTTCATTTGAAATATTTGACTCTTCATCTCAGCAGTTTAAGCAAAATCCCATAGTTACACTGTGACCTGTTCTAGATCTTAGAATTGGGAGGGAACTTGAAAACTAAGATAACTTTCATACAAATTAGATTTCATTTTTTATAAGACTAGTATTCCTCTAGGGATATAAAAGTCTTGACTTCGTCAAAGATTCTGAGTTAATACAGTTTTTGGCATTTCTCTGTTTTGAGATTAATTGAATCAATACCATGGCTGCCAAAATGTTTAGTTAAAAGAACCTTGTTTTCAGTTTATGCTAAAAATAGTGCTAAAGTTGGCAGAAGCACTATAAGCCCTAGAAACTGTATTTGTGTTTGAAGCTCACTTGCCATCTGTTCTTTGTATTTATTTTAGTAAAATATATATTTTTAATCACTTTTCACAAAAGATTTTGGCTCAGTGTTGAAAGTGAGACACTGAAAGTACTAGCCAAATCGAGTCATAATATGGGAATTTGCAGAACGAGTTCCCCATAAAGCACTCAGTGCACTTTATATCTGATCTGCAGCACATGACTTTGGCAGTGTTTACGCAGAAAAGTATGATTTGACATTTGCTGAACTACCACTTTTGAGTCCGATGAAAACTGATGAAGGTCCACTTTAATTTCCATTTCACCGTAGTATGGTAGAAGATAAACCTGTGTCTCTAGAGCATCGGTGGTGTTCTCTGTGTAATTATTGGGAGCACCTGTAGGAAGCCTTTAAATGACTCAGATGCCTCTTTGGCTCTTGGTAGAGCAGTGAGTATCTGGAGCCTGAGACATCTGCTTCCTGGAAATAGCCAAGCTGATAGAGTAGCCCTATATGCAAAGGCTTTGTATTTTCTGTTTTTTTTTTTTTTCCTGTTTTGTGTGGAGGTGTTACTTCCTTTTTGTCTCTGTACACTCTGTTTTTCAGGAAATGGCAGCAGGTAGGAGTCTTTTTGGACTTGAGAAGGGAGGCGATAGCTTGTGGTCATCAGAGGATGTGAGTGCTATATTTTAACACACTTTGAGCTTTCAGTCAGGAGCATAAATACATCGTTAGTATTTAACCATAAATGGGAAAGATATGGCTTGGTTGTTATGCAGTCCTTTGAGGATTATCATGACGTATTTCTGGAGAAACCATCAGATGTATTAGAAGTGTGCCAAATATCACTCAATCCTGGAAGTCTGGAGGGTTTCATTGTAGGCAAGTCACTGTGCTGTCCCTTTCAGCTACATGCAGCTGTTATCTGTGAAGTGTCCCTGCCAAGTGCAGTTTCAAGCAGCACAAGATACAGCCACCAGTGCAGCACAAAATAGTCTTACCCTGATGTGCATCATCAGAACGAGAGGCAGCTCAGCAAGTTAAAGTTGTGTTGCTTTTCTTTCTTGAAGCGTATTTCCTTACAAACCTAATGCTGTTTCAGTATTGTTTTAACAAACAGCTGCTAAAGAATTCCTACTTGACCTTTACAAAACAAGCCATTGAAAACCATCATGTTAATATGAGACTCTAGAAGACTCTTCAGGAATGAATGTGTCAGAGCAGATCACATGGCAAAGCATATATCAAGAAAGTGGCTGTCAGAAGAATCCAGTCTTGCAAGATGACTGGTAGATTGGGTCAGCAGCATCTCTTCTTAAAAAATCGGCTGTAGCTATCAAGAGGCTAAAGTATACCTGTGCCAGCTTGAAAGCAACTTTGTCTAGTTATTTTTGTGAAAAACTGTGTAGTGAGGACCTTGCATTTATGTGCTTGGTGTCTTCATCCAGTTCTTTGTTTGGTGGGTTCTTAGCGGAGCAGAGATTGGACAGGAGGAAGTGATTTCAACCTGCTGTGACTTGGGACCTCCCAAAATGGCAAGAAGCAGGGTGTTTTGGCCTGCATGTCTTTTTATTTTTGTGAGTTGTTTTATTTTGCTTATACTTGAACAATTTTAATGCATCGCTCTGTCTAGACTTTTTTAGAAATAAAATGAAAGTGTTCAGTGATCTGGGGACCCTGAGCTAGCAAGTCTCTTCTGGAGGCATTGGCTGAAACATCTTGCTTGCTCTTTTTTAGATTTAGTGGCTGAAGCAGTATCTTTAATGCTTAGGAGTTCATTACTAGAATCACACCATTGCAGAAGAAATTCAGTTCCTGGGAGGAAAAAACGAAGTCTGGATTGTTTTTTTTTAAACTGGATGCTTATAAAGTAATATAGTCCTGTTCACTATATTCAGCTTGTACCAACTAAATCTGTTGGAAATCTTCAGAGTAGGAGGCAGGGACTGAAGTGCAGCTCTTGTTACAATGAGGAGAGTTTGTCTTTTATGCTCCAGTCCTAATGTTGTACACTTATCCTTTGGTATGCAGTATTTCCTAAATCAATAAATAAGCTGTAACGAAAAAGGTAGCATTTAATAAGGAAAGACATTTTATGGTTTTTTTTAACAGATAACATAAAATACTGATTCAGCTATCAAACCTGTAAGAGGTTAGTTTAAATTGCAGAAACTGGAGAATAGGGTCAGTTCATATACATATTCTTGTTATTGTTGTAACTGTTAACTTATCTACTGTTAATTAAACTTTTTTCCAACTTCCAGATAAATCATATGGTTTTCTGGGGAAACAAGAAACTATATTAATGAGCATCAACTCCTTAATTATCCTTGTGACTACATAACAGGGACACATTCATGTCAGTTCTTTGTGCAATAACTTTTGCAAAGAAGTATTTTTAAACTGATCATTAATTTTATGACCACAGAAATGAGATGCAAAATTTATGCTGTTGTCATTGGCACAGGTTCAAGGCACTACTGACATTATGTGTGATTGTAATGGAATGGCTGCCAACTAATGAGTCTATAGACATTTCGTTTGAGCATGCTTTGCTTTTAGATGTCTGATTAGACAGTAATGCTTTCAATTATGCCTGCAAATTGTATTGGATACATTTACCTGATGCCCATTGTTGCTTTGTAGTTCGGTTTTCTATTACATAAATGCAAGTTGAATGCTTTTCTTTAATTTATTGATGCTTTTCGGGTGTATTTTTAGGTACTTGGCATCAGAAGGGAGGAGTAGTGGCTTGTGCTGCTCAACACTGACTCCTCTGACTGTTCAAGGAGTAACACGTGTAGCTTCGAATGCAATTCTATCTAGTCTTCCTCAGTAGGTGGAGTATAAACTGCAGTGCAACACCTTGATGGAGGAGCATGTGAAGTGCATAGCATACGCTCCAAAGATGTCTTTTAACCCTACCAGAATTAGGAGGCAAAAAACCCAAGGTTGATACTAGCCTGTAGTCATTCTTTTATGTGAACACATAAAAACATTGTGGAACGTTGCCTGTTAAAGCTCCAGAGCACACTGACTCACCTCTCCTATCAAAATGCCTGCAGTTCTTCTATACAAATTAGATGATTTAAGGATTGCATTTCAGTGTATAATATAAAATTACAAATACATTTATTTGACCTAAAATAAAAAATGGAAGATTTTTAGTTTAATCTAGTCCTGCAGGGCTACAGGTTGCTTGTAGCTGTATTTAGTGTCTGTGACCTATTCTCCACATTTTTTACATTAAAAAAAAAAAGTGTGGGTACCTAAACATACTATTGTATGACGTGGGATCTGTATATTTGTCCTGATTGTCTTTCTCCGTGAGTTTTTTTCCCGTGGAACTCTTCAAGCCTTTATTTAGGGTTTAACATCTAGAGAATGCTTTGAAGACTATAAACTCTCTAAAAGCACTGAGCTTATAACTTCTTTCTTTGTAATACTGCAACATTTTTTTTGTTTTGGTTTAGGAGTATTTTGAACTTCGATATTGTAGACTTAGGACAGATACTTGTTTTATTGTAAATCTGCATTTGGTGTGCCAATAGTTTTTGTTGTTTCAAATATAGTATATACCTAGAGTATGTGCATGGTGTGCCCTAAATATGTGTGTATTAAAAAGCTCCTTGTTTCTAGGTCATCTGGATTTTATATGAATGCAAAGCACAAAGGTTTACTGAATTTGAAATCCTTAGCATAATTAGAAAATGGTAGTATTGTGATTTAATGGAAGAGCAGGGTAACAGTGCAGCTATTGAAACTTACATAAGGAATCAACTTCTCTGAAAGCGATTATATATTAGTTGAGTGGGGCAAAATTCTCTGGAGACGTTCTTTCTACATGTGTACTTGCCTATTTTCATCCATAAGTGCTACTCATTTAGATATACTTAGGTGTAGTCTTACTATTCATCCCATGAATTTTGAGTGCTGGAGTGTGGTGTTTGTGGAAGTGTTTTCCTCTAGAAATATAGCCTAATATTTTAAATTTATGCTGGCACCTTCTTGAAGGTTAAATGATAGTACGTTTATGCATAGCTGATAAGAGGACATTTTTGACTGACAGCCAGGGTATTGGAGGTGGGGGTTTATATGTGCACATACTCTGTGCATTCTAGTACTAGTAAAAGTTTAGGACAGGAAAAGAGTGGAACAACTTTTGATACTGTATAGGTTGTGAATATCATGTTTGCTCTTTTTATATGCCGTCTATAATCTAATGAAGATATATATATGACAGAGACAGGCAACTGGTCTCTGGCATGTAAGTGTGAAAGATGATCATGCAGGTTGTAAAGATGGCATAATATTTTCTGTTCATGTGCTATCTGGTCTCTGGCTTTCTGTTTGGAGAAAGAGGTGAATCCTGGAGAGGAATAATTTACTTTGATTGGTTTGACAGGTGTGATGAAATGCAAATATTTTGATCAGATTAACACGATGGCTGGAGTGCTACTGGAAGATGGCCGTGTCAAAAATAGATTGGAGTTGGGTTCAGATTCAAAGCAGTTGTTATATGGCATGGGAGCTTGAAAGGAAGCTTTCCCAAGAAAAGCATACTAAATTAATGAAGGGAAAATCAATTTGGTATTCAGCAGTCTTGGCTTGTAAAAGAACTCCAGCAAGGCAAAAATCAGGCTTTGTTGTCTTATCTGCATAGAAAACTTGCTGTTCTTTCTGAACAACTGTGGTGCTTTTTGAGCATGGACTCTGAATTTTCCATGATTTTCCACTATTAAATGGGAAGCAAAGCAGTAAAACTCTCAGCCATAGATAGACAGTCCTACTGATGAATGTTATTCATATGTCTGTGGAGAAGAATACTTTCACGATGCGTGGGGTTTATTTTGGATTCTGAGAAATTAGTTATCCGATACAGTGCTCTAAAAGCAAACACATGAATAGAGAAGCATGTCTGGAGGTCTCTGGAAAGCTTTCTGCATATGAATATACCAAAAGCCAATGCTTGAGCAATTTAGCTTTATATACATTTTAAGAAAATTGAGGGTCATTTGATCTGTTGGCGCATCAGCTTTATGATTTTGGTTTGGTGATTTTTATCACATTTAATTATTGGATTTTCCTTCTTCACCAAGACTTGATTTTTTTTTTTAAAGGAACAGTGTAGTTTGTTATTTTCCCATCTTTTATCCGCTTAGATGGTACTAAAAAAAAATCTCAGAAAAGGTAGTGAGTTTTGGGAGAGAGAACTTAAATTTTTGTCTAATTAAATGAAAGCCTTGACTAATGTTGATTTCATTTTACCTTTCCCAGACCTTCACACTTAATGCACTCTGATCAGTGTAGTGCATAGGTTAGCTAATAATGTAGATCTTGTATATATTGTAGTAGGGCTCTCAGCTGTGTAAGAAACTCATCAACAGAATGCTGCGTTAAGCCACAGGTTCGGACCGGGTGCTGTCAGAAGGCGATTCCATTTTTAGTTTCATGGGAGGAATACACATACACATACACCATTTGCAAAGTAGCACCTAATTATGGTGAAGAAAAGCAAAAGTGGGCAGAGGGCGACAAACTGCTGCCAAAAGTAGTTTGGCAGTTCCTGGAAGGGAAGTCGCTGCAGCTCCTTCCTGCACTCGGACAGGCAGAACTTCGGAGCTTGGCACTGCCCGTTTCTCCTCCTGCCAGTGTTTTCCCTTGCCCACCTCTTTGCTGTGGTGTGTGTGTTTCTTTCCCCCGCCGTGAGAGAAGCTGTCAGCTGTGCAGCACTGGGAGCGGGTTTATTATATGACAGCGTTTAGGGAAACCACCACTGCAGCCACATGTACACGGCCGGTTAGAAGGTAGCCCTAGAACAGCAGCGCTTGAATGTACAAGGTGCGTGTTATGAGAGTCCGTGAGAAATGGCCTTTTTTCTGTTTCAGATAGGAATTGGTATCCTCCTTACTAATGAAAATATTTGTCTTCGGATTCTGTCTGTGTTTGTATGATAGACTGTTTTAACTAGCAATGTATTTTTTACTTTTACAGAATTGGAAGATGAGGAAGAGTCTGAGGGCTCTCTTTCTTTGCCTCCTGATAGTATCTCAATAGCATCTGACCGGTATGATAAAGACGATGAAGCACCTTCTGATGGTATGTGACACTGTTTACCTTAAAACGTTCTAGATTTGCCAGTTTGCTACAAACTCATGTAATGAGATCCTGGTGAGGCGAATGTTAGTGTTGGAAATTATATAAACAGATAAGCATCACAGCTGGACAGTTTCCTTACCTTTACAAGAACCTTTAAAGGAACTGAAGAGCTCTCTCTAGTGGTCCTAGAGCATAGTGAAGCTGTCTCAAATTTTACATGGGTTTTTTTAAACTCAGTTTTTTTTCATAACAAAGCATCTTCTGTAGATGCCTATGTTTTTAAAGATAGATCAGTGGCTAAAAAAGTGTGAATATTTGTAGTAACAAATGGTTTGTTAATTCAACATTATCAGATTCTTGCTTAATTTTATTGTGCTACTTAATGGCTTACTGTATTATTTATCTAATAAATAATGAAACAGTTTACATGATTGATATTTTTCTGCAAATTCCATGCAGAATAGGTTCATAAAATATTAAATTAATTATTCCTACAATGTTTCCTTCCATTAAGACAGTCTTTTGTAGAATGTTTTTATTATATAAATTTTAAATTTGAGTTTGCATTTAAAAAAAAAATCTAGGCTCCATAGCTGTTTTCCGTGTTGTTTTATTTTGTATTCATTAAATTTAATGCTAAATGCGACTGTTCTGAAGACATGAACAATTGAATATTTCAACAGTTAACAAGCTTGCTTTAGCATAGTGTCCATATTTTTGAGATTCGTTTATTGTATACATAATATAAATACCTTCTATGGATAATACATGGCAATAAATTAAGTATATGTACAAATAAATTAACGATGTATATTAATTTGTGGCACTAGAAGTTAGATAGACTTACTAGTGAATGATGTTTTCTGACATGATATGATGATCAAACTGTGCAGCTCCATCTCGAAATACAATTGCTGAATGAAAATATGCTTCCTGCAACATAGCACTCCACATTTTATGTTATCCAGATTATTCCCTTTGGAAACATAAATTGCTTTTATGAGGTATAAAATTATGTCTATTGCAGAACAGGGATAAGTCAAGTACATGCATAAGTGATAAACCTTCTAACCACTGATTCAGAATAACGCAATTTTTTTTTATATCCAGAACTCTGTAAAATGTGTAACAATAATAATCACACTTTTTTTTTTATATTGAGCTTGTTGCATTTTGGCAATGTGACCTTCTGTTAAAAAAATAAAACCAAGGCTTTTTGCTTTCTGATGTAAATGTAATTATCAGTCAAATTGAATATGGCTTTTAGAAAACCCAAGCTAATTTTCCAAACTACAGATGAATGCAACTTCCCATGTATTTATTTTTGCTTACAAACATAATCTTAACATTATTGCTAATTGTAACTTAATAACATGGTAGTGATTGCATAAAGGGTATGTGACAAAATTCTATGACTATTTAATAGGAGATATGATTATAGATTTGTTTCAAAACACTTAATCAAGAAAAAAGTGATAATGTTCATAAACCTAAATAATGAATGGCTGAAGAATGCTGATGCAAGAGTATATGAAATACCATATGAGTTTGTACAGATGGGTGATTAATTTTTAGCCTATTTTGGAAGTTATAATTATGAGGGTAGGTATAATAGCTGCCCAACAATATCTTGGCTAATCCATTCCAGTTCAGGTAGAAATATAGTGGGTGCGATTCTGTTATATTTAAGATGATTTTACCTCACTGGTCTTTCTATGTTTTATGATAAATCCTCTTCAATTATGTAGTGGGAGTGCAGCATGAGGAACAGTTGAGAAAAGGTGGTAGATTTTGATCTGTAAATACTTTCGTTTATTGGAGGAGTGTTTCAGTTTTCCTCTTTGAATGTCCAGTGTGTCATTCTAAGACCATTTTGATTTTAACGTATATAGTCCATCATTCAAGTCTAGCCACCTAGACTATGTATGAAAATGTATGTTGGGAGAATCTTATAAGAGGTGGATTGATCCTCAGAGGTGTCATTTGTTTCAGCTCTCATAGGCACGAATGGGTTTGTTGAAGCTTAATACTGTATTTTTGTTTTTTACCAGTCTGTTAATGTCCAATATTTAAATCCTACTCAAGAAGCTGGATCCGTAAGGTAGATGTTTGATCTTAATGGTTGCCAGTTTAGATCAGCAGGGCTCTGTGCAGGTGTAAAACCCCATTTGTGTAGGATCAAGGCTCTCAGCATTAACAGAGGGGCCTAACTGTAGGTAACCAAATTGAGGTGTTCTTTATTTATATTTGAGTACATTCATATTTTTATGTAAAGCCTTTTTTATACATTTTCTGCTGAAATAAAAAACAAAACAGGCATTTACCTTTATATACTTGAGTTAGACTGCAAGGTTTGTACAACTTCTGAAAGTGTCACTATTTGACTTTGCAGTGTTACCGTCAAAATATAATTTGTGAAGGCACCCGCTTGGTAACAGATAAAGAATTAGTGTATTACGTGTACATTACAGTCACTGTAAAATCCTGGAGTTTTTGTGTGACCTTTGTCTAATGGTGTATTAATTACAAGAGAGATAATCCATTTAACAATAAGTATGGGATAACTAAATTAGCACAGGTCACCTAAAGGCCTTTTGTCAAATCTGATTGTTATGTTGTCCTTTTGACTTTTACCTTATGGTAGGCACTAACAAAGTATCTAAACTTTGATGGATTATAAACTCTAAACATGATATGTATTTTTCATAATGCTAATGTAATTTTCTAGGTACTGAAAAGGTCAAACCTCCACGTCTCTGTGTGCATTCTAAGTCTGTCTTTCCTTTTAATATTTCTTTTTCTCTGTTCCTCTGGTTCAAAAGTTCACTCAGTTCCCAAATGGCCACCTAATTTTCCAGTTATTCCCTCAAGCCATATGTGTTTTGGTTTCTTTATGGTTTATTAGGTACTGTAGGAAAGTAGCATAAGTTATATCTTCTAATGAAATTCAAGCACACTTCAGTGATGCTTTGACTTGATTGCTGGCAGCAATTAAGTCACAACGAAGGAGAATGATGCATAGGCTTACGTGTCCAGACACCCTACAGAAATTGGAAAAGGGATAAAACACAACAAAACTCCCAAATAAAATAACAAACCCCAAAACAAGACAGACAAAACAAAACAGCACTGCCAGGCACTCCTTTCTTAACTTGATTTTTTTTTTTATTGGCTAACAGCCTGATTGATAGCGAAATCATAACTTGCTGTATGCTAACAGGCAGAGTTCACTTGTAGGTTATTGTGAGCTGATAAAGGGTTAGATGGAGTTTTGATTTTCGCATTGGTCCTTGGTGCACCAGATTAATGGAATTTCAATGAGAGACTGGAGTAGTCACAGCTTTGTCAGAAAAACAGATGGAGATTCTATAGCCATGTCTACTCATTAATACCAGTTGCCTGAAAGGTGTACTACTTCTCTATACAAAAGACTCAACATAATTGATTTTTGAGCAGGGTATTTTTTCACTTATTGATGACTAGGTTTCTTGCAACTTAAATGACAGGTATTTGTATAGTACATTGTATAACAATGTTATGTCTTGTAAATTCTTACTCCCCTTCCATCTGTATTTTGAAGAATGTGTGTAGTGGAGAATATATGTCTTGATCAGTTAAAAACCAAAGCATACCAAATACTTAAAAATTGAAATAGTAAGACTTTCTTTAAAGTTGGTAACAAACTCATTTTTGGTTGAGACATTAATGGGGAAAAAGTTACTGTTTTCCATTTAACTTTCAGGTTTCCTAGGATGGTATTAAATCTAGGTTCAATGCCATGCTGAAACTTTCCTATTTAACAGTGTAATCTTCTTTTATGATCTCATGGGATTTTTTTAACAGTAAAATTTTTTGTTTTGTGGTATGGTAACTTGATTCCATAGTAGGAAATTCCATCGATATTAAAGGAACAAACTTTTTGACTCTCTAAGTACTGTGAGTGAACCAACCATTTCTGAAGAAGATATGTCTGTTTAGCTCTGCAGGGAGTATGTGATTGGGTAGTTACTGGATCTAAAAAGATCACAGTGAATGCTGTGATAAAATAATTTAGATCATCATCATTTCTGTGGAAGGTCTAGAAATGTTGCTTTGAGCGTGTAAAGATGAAAGAAGTACTAAAAATGTGTCTGGGGACTCGTATGCTCTTCAGATTATCATATTTGGCTATAGCTTAGGAATAAAATACGCTTTTTAGTAGAAAATTGTTAAATAGGGTGAGAATCTCATACTAAAAATTCCCCATAGTTGAAGTGAAGGAAGGTATGGCCTAAGCAAGCAAAACAGGACATTTGGAGAACTTTGAGGAATCAGAATAAATGAAGGAGTTGTGCTTTAACTGTTTGTCATCAGAGTGCAGTCTTGAAAATGAGCAGAATTTGTTGCTCCCTGCAACATGCTTTCCTTGGTATAATTTTGGATGCAACAACAGGTGTTAGCACTTTGTTTTCATGCAGCTCCTCTGGAAAAGTTCTATACGAGTCTTTGCAGGCTTGAGTCAACTATTTTACGTGATCCATAGTACTTCCTTTGCATGAACGTCACATTTTGTCTTTTGATCAAGTGAGAATGAAAAATTGTGACTAAATTTTGCATGCTGCTTCTTTTGACAGTTTAAGTCTCAAATACAAGTACTGATTAAGGTTTTTTTCTTTTTTCTCTATTTGGTAGGCGTAAAGGTTTGAATACTGTCACTGAAGAAGGGTAGAGTTCAGTGTAAGACCTTATCTTTATGTACAATGCATATACAAGTATTTTCCCACTTTCTTCAGCTACATTCCTACTGAGTTTATTTTTGAGGCACTATATTAAAGCAAAACCCGTGTTCCATCACTGAGCCAGTTAAGCGGTATTAGCAGCTGAGTTACTAAAGGTTGGAGGGTGGAAAATGCAGCTAGGATTTTTCTGTCCTCTTCTCTCTCCTTTTGCCCTTCGTATCCCCCCAGTCTTGTATTGGTTTACCACTATTTTAGTGTCGTAATCGTGTACATGGAGAGGAT